AACTGCAATAAATAAAAATATAAATTAATATTTGGTACGTAAAAAGTAATATTTTCAAGTTTTTATATTATTTTTAATGCTGTTTATAAAGATTCAAAGCCAAGTATAATAATTGTGAGTTATGAACGCTTCTTTATTTAACTTTCATAAATAAAAAAATATGTACCGAGTATAATTACAATGGAACAATTTACATAAAATTAAAATGAATATGAAATTATTTCAAACAAACTAACATGGAAATTAACTTACTTTTAATTAATTTCCTAAACTATAATTTTTTTATCTGAAATAATGTGTTGGTAAGTAAAAATTTAATCAAATGTAAATTGTTTTGGTTGAAATTAAAGATGAAATAAATAGAGTTGCTGTTGTTACCTATGGCTTTATTAGAACTCAATCCATATAAATTTGACCATAAGAGCAAGACAATCGACCAAAAGACCCTAAAAACCAGTTAAAAACAAGTTAAATGTTCTAAGGATAAAAAATTAAAAAACTGGAAACATCGTAATAAAAGTCTGTGGGATCAGGGCATGTTTTCTATGGCCCTTCAATATAGAGTACACAAATCACCTTTATATTTAAGTCTAATTCCGAGCAAACAAGTAGACGGACCTTATTCATTTTGTTTGTCTCACATAAAACAAATATAATAGAGTTCACATTCCCTATTTTGGCCAGATGTTCGGCCAGACAGTCATATCCAGTTCTTATTCTAAAATTGGCAATAGCCTCTTTGTGAGATTTCCACTAAATGTTTTCCAGTCATCCTCGATTTTCTTTCAGAACTGTACTTTAGTGCTAATTTTGTACCTAATAACATCAAAAATTCCAGTTTAATAATTGTGTCTCTTTTATAAAGATCTCAACTCGTTGATGACATTTTTATGATGATTTACGACAATTATTCATTTTCTGTATCTCACATATAACATATATATCTGAGCTCACAATCTCCATTTCTGGGAGAGGTTCAGCCAGACAGTAGTGTCCAGTTCATAATCTAAAACTAGCAACAGCCTTTGCGAGATTTTCCACTTAATTCTTTCCCGTCATCCAGTTTTTGTAATCTTTATTTCTTTGTATAATAATCCAGAGTTCATTATTTGTATATACATGTAGTGTTTGTAAATAAAAATTAAAGTGTTCTCATAAACCAGAAAATGACCCTCATCTTGAAGCCGTTTTAGGTCTAATATAGGCAAAGACTTTAGAAATTATTTTCTTTCATTACTACTTAAATTAAATTATAATACCAATTAACTATCTACATTTTATCAGTGGAGGACAGCAATTCTTAACCAAGTTCTAGAACTTTCGTGCGATCAATTGCCCTACTTTAATTTCATTTCAATTAATCCTATATTTTAATTAAGTTTGGCGAAAATAAAAATGAAAAAAGACAGAAATTGGCGACGATTGAAAGTGAATAGCTTGTGGGTGGCTATAAATAACTCAAATTCCGAATCAATCTGATTTTACTTTATTCCAGAAATGATACTTCGAATCTTAACCAGTTCTTACCTGCAGTCGAAGAAAGATTAGTTTCTAACACATCCAATTCACATACGCAAAGTCCGGTTCCCTTTCTACTATTCACTTAACATGTTCTCTGTTTACTAGATTTAGGTGATATATGTGTTTTCCAAAGGAAATCAATTAAATTCCTTTTCAGATAAGTCGGAACTGGAGGTTATTGTTAAGGAAAAGCGAGCGCAGCGTAGATTCTGTTCAAAGTGTTCCAAAGAAACGATTAATGGAACGCAGATGATCCGTATTGAATGTCGTTTGGCGAACGAGGAATAGAAAAGAAATTTCGTTAGAAATTCGAAGAAAATAATCCCCAAATTTGATGTATTAGTGACAAATAATATAAATAGGCTTTTTAAAACAAGATTGTGTCTTTCTTTTTAATTTTGTGTTAAAAAAAAAAAAATTAAAACAAGTAACCTGAATAGATTTCAACAGGTAAAAATGGCATAGGGTTTATTTTCGAAGAATCAAGACGTTCAAAAGAATTTAGAATACTATACTTTCTATTACATAGTTATGCATATAAATTTCTTACATAAGAATGCGTTCAACTTAATGAATTTTCTGTAAAATTACTATTTTTAATTTCATTAGACCGGAGCCTACGGTTTAACGTGGATTCCGAACCATTACAAACGTCCGTGGCACCCCTGGCATACGAATCTGTAAGGATTTCCTTTTAAGGATTTTAGTTAAGTCTTGACGTTTCTTTGACCCTAGGAGAAATTATTAATCATTCATATATAACTTGTAGAGTTCCCCGCCATTGATCGCAATTTAATCTAAGCCATGTGATATTTAACTTTTTTCACAGTCATTTGTAAATTTTTGTGTTTTATTAAAATCCTTAGTGTCCTGCATTTGTATTAAAATTACATTAATGTAATCAATTTATAACAATAATGTAAGTTTATTCTGTCGCCTGATAAGTTTATTCGGCGACTGTTAATTGTGTTTATTTTCTGTCATACGTTTCAGATTCAAGTACCGGTGGTGCCATGGATGTTTGTAATGGTTCGGATCCACTTTAAACAGAAGGTATCTCTCTGATATGACTGTAAATTGTTGCGATTTGAGGTGACAACCCTATCCCTAATAAACGAAAACATCTCATGTCTGAAAATGTGCCAGTCGGCAGACGGCCTTGATCCACCATGGGGCTTTTGTGACAATAAAATAGAAGCAGTAGAATATACGCTTTAAATATTGTATGTGTAAACCTGAATATTTTTTTGTGCTATGTATAAGTTCTAAGATAAATAGGACAAGAAAATGTTCGAAATTTTTAATCACTTACAAAGTTATATCAATATTAGATAAATATTTTGAATTTTAATGAAACAATAACATTAGTTAAAATGTTATCATAATAAATTGCAAATGTATTTATTTCATTTGCATTTTTCATCCCTTTCATTATGAAATAAACTAAATATTTCTTACAAAACTTAAAAAATCTACGTAAAATTCGTTAAATGTATATTCTTAAGAATGAAATGTCCAAAAGAATAATTTTAAGATATTCTAATCGTTCTAAAAGAACAGTTTTACATAAAAAAAGTGTTGACGAGACTTTTAATAATAAGCAATAAAAAATATATTTGAAGAATACTTTTACGAACATAATAAAACATTTTATCTCTTTATAAAATTAAACACATAAAATAAATTGGAAATTATTCTTAATCTAAAATTTTGTATCTTAATTCATTTTTAAGTTCAATAAATATAAAAAGAAAAATCGCTTAAAGAATTTATTTTTTTCTTGTCATCAACAATCAGTAAGAATATAAAAGAATTGTAATACAATTCAGCAAATCTTCGAACAAAAAAACCAAACAAACTGCAATGTCGTTTTGAATTCCTAATTATTTTAATTTACATAAAGAAGTGCACAATAATAAAAATCTCCATCATTATGGTATTTAAAGATTTGAAAAAAATAAATAAATAAAAGTCTCATGTATTCAGTTTGTTTAACGAATTGATGAAACCACCTCGAGCGATATCAATATTTAAGTTTCTTTTCAAATCTCAAGAGAGCGGTTGCTTGCTTTAATCGCCGCCATTTTGAAACTGTGAAAATAATTGGTGACGATCTTTAAAATTAAAACACATCGTTTTTTCATTTTTAATTGGTGAAATGAAGGCTGAAATCGTAAAAATTTTAATTTTGAACTAACATTAGATTAGCAAGGAAGAGTTTTTAATTGCCACTTAACAAGTAGGAAAATGTCATTTTTTTTAAAAAAAGATTCTAAACTGCATGTATTGAATAGATTATTTTTGACTGAGTAAATAATTTGTTTCTTCTTTCTTTTCTGATTTGTTGTGTAAGGATTTGTGTCAAATGATTTGAGACAATTAATAACTAATAATAAATATCATTTTTAAAATGCTTTGTGTTTAGAATCACGCATAAATTTTGGAACATGTATTTTTACAATAATGTGATTATATTTTTAAGAAGATTAAATGTTTCAAAAATGAACTCTGAAGTTTTATGGAGCCCCTAATATAAATGGAAGAAATTATTATATTATTTAAAAAATTGAATATAATTTATTTCTTTTGTGTCAAAATGAATAACACTAATTATTAAAGAAATTTATTTCAAAAGAAATAATAAAATGAAATACAATTTTAAATGTGATTTGGAAACTCTTTTTGAATTGATTGAATTAATAAATTGTTTTGATATGAATATATTTCGTAACAAATATAAACAATGTTTTGCTTTTAAAATTTTTCTGTGGATAATTTTAAATGGATAATTTTTTTTAAAAACTAAACGTATTAAAATAAATGATAAAATGTTAAAATAAAATATTAAATGTTTTTGTTCATTTTTATAAGCAATAAATATTCGATACAAAAAATATTTTTTATAAATATATCTCTCCCATTTTAAAATTAACTTTTATTGCAGCAACTTTTCATCCATTATACATTTAAATAACTGTATTATATGAAGATATAAGTAATTATTTGATACTTAAAAGGAATATCTTCTTGTGTTTGTGATAATTCTTAATGTTTGTTAATAATAATTTTAAAGCCAAGTATAATAATTATGAATAATGAATACTCCGTTATTTACGTGTCATAAATAAATAAGCAGGGATCATACTTACAAAGAAAGGTATTGTATGGAATTTACAAAAAAAATGTAATGAATATAAAATTATTTCAAACATACCAATATGTCAATTAATCTCCTCTTAATTAATTCCTAGAAATATTATTCTTCGATTGTAATTCGTTCGAAATAACTTTTATTGCAACAGACTATTCATCAGTTATACATTTAAATAAATTGTATTACATAAAAACAGAAATTATTATTTTATGCACTTAAATATTTTCATGTTTTTATAATAATTTTCAATGTTTATTAACAACAATATTAAAGCCAAATATCATAATTATGAATAATGAATGCTTCGTTTTATATGTGTCATTAATACGGCCGTACCATGTATATTCATACCGGTTCTCGTTAGATCACCGAAGTTAAGCATCATTGGGCGCGGTCAGTACTTGGGTGGGTGACCACCTGGGAACACTGCGTGCCGTTGGCAAATTTGGGACCTGAATGGCCGAGTGTCTAGCGCTCTGGCGCTCGGTGCCACAGGTTTCGGGTTCCAATCCCGGCGGTGCCATGGATGTTTTTAGTGGTTCGGAATCCACTTTAAGCCGTAGGTCCCTGTCTTCTATGACTGTAAGAGCGTCACGGAGCAAAAGTCAGGCTTCTACCTACGGGTGCTCCATCACAACAGAAGCTGCTTCCTTCCCCTTCAATCATGAGTCCATATGGGCTTGTGGGCTTGGCCAGCCAAGTGGGATAAGAAACAACAACAACATATGTACGCAGGGATCATACTTGCAACGAAAGGTATTCAAACAAATTTACATAAAAATAAAAGGAATATGATATTTCACAGTCACTAACATAGCAACTAAAATTCTCTTAATTAATTTCCAAAAAAATATATATATTTTTATTTGAAATAGTGTGTTGGCAAACAAAAATTGAAACAAATGCAAATAGTTTTGGTTAAAGTAAACAAAGAGTTTGTATCTTGTTGTTGTTGACTATATATTTATTGGAACTCAGTCTATAGAAATTTGGCACTTTCCGTAGGAACTAAAAGAACAAATAAACCAGCCAAATTATAAAAGAGCAAACATTTTTTTAAAAAAACTACCAAAAGAGCTTAAAAAAATTAATAATAAGTTAAATGGTCTAAGGATAAAATTTAAAAAGCTAGAAGCACCACAATAAAAGTCTGTGTGATCAGGACATGTTTTCTCTGGTCTTCTAATAAAGAGTACACAAATCAACAATCTGTTGTAAGTTAGAATCCTGAGCAAACAAGTTAATGGGACTTATTCATTTTTTCTGTGTCATATAAAACACATATCACAGTTCACAATCCCTATTTCTGCCAGATTTTCGGCCAGGCATTCGTGTCCATTTCTTAATCTAAAATTAGCCACTGAATATTTCAAGTCACACCCGATTGTCTCCCAGACGTTTCCTCTGATGTTAAGTCTGTGTCTAATAACATCAAAAATTCCAACTTAATTAATTTTGTCCATCCTATAATAATCTCCAGCAGTTGATTTAATTTTTATCATCATATACGCAGTTATTTATCTTCTCTGTCTCACAGAAAACACGCATATTAGAGTTCACAATCCTTATTTTGGCCAGATGTTCTGCCTGACAGTCAATGCCCAGTTCTTAAACTAAATTTGGCAACAGCCTGTTTGCGAGTTTACCCACTAATTTTTTCCAATCATCCCCGAATGTCTCCCAAACTTTTCCTTTGACATTAAGTCTGTGTTTTATCACATAAAAAATTCCAACTTAATAATTGTGCCTCTCTTATAACAATCTCAATGAGTCATTTGAAATTTTATCAGGATCAATGACACATATATACTTATTTTATTCCTTTACAGCTTAAATTAAATTAAGTTACAATGGAAATTAACTTCTTTCATTTTATCAATGGACAACAATTCTTAACAAACTTGCAGAACTTTCGTGCTATTCATTGCCCTACTTTGATTTCAATTTAATTAATCCTATAATTTAATTAAATTTGGCGATAAGAAAAGAAAAGAAAAACGGAAATTTGTTGAAAGTGAGAGTCTGTTGGATGGCTATAAATAACTCAAATTCCAAATCAACCCAATTTTACTTTATTGTAGAAATGATTCTCTCGAATCTTAACCAGTCCTTGCCGGTAGTCAATAGAAGATTAGTTTCTAATACATCCAATTCACAGACGTAAAATCCGGTTCACATTCTACTATTCACTTAACATGTTCTCTGTTTACTAGATTCGGGTGATTTACATGTTTTCCGAAGGAAGTCAATTAAATTCCTTTTCAGATAAGTCGGAACTGGAGGTTGTTGTTAAGGAAAAGCGAGCGCAGCGTAGAATCTGTTCAAAGTGTTCCAAAGAAACGATTAATGGAACGCACACGATCCATAGTGAATGTCGTTTGGCGAGCGTGGAATAGAAAAGAGATTTCATTCAAAATTCGAAGAAAGTAGTCCGCAGATTTGACATGTTAGTGACAAATAATATAAATAGATTTTTTAAAACACGACAGCGTCTTTCTTACTATTTTGTGTTTTAGAAAAGAGCTTGGAAAAAAGGAACAATTTCGAACAGGTAAGACTAATATAGGGTTTTTTTCTTGATTAGTAAAAATATATAAAAATTTTGAAAATAATAAATCTTAAAAAAATGTTTTCAAAAATCTTAGATTACATTTTGCATTTAAATACTATTGATCTAATATTTATTAACACACTAATGTAAGCATATATTAATACATGTTTACCTGAAAAATTTGTCGGTTATATACAAGTTCTAAGACAACAAGAAGAAAAATAAGTTTGAAATTTTTAGGCACTTAATCAGCTATATCGACTTTGCCCTAAAAAAATATTTTGAATTTTAATAAAAGAATAGCTTTAGTTAAAATGTTATCATAATAAATTGAAAATGTATTGTCATTTAAATATAGTATGAAAAAAAATTCTAAGAACTTCTACGTAAAATTCTTTAAATTTATATTCTTAAAGGTGAAAAGTTAAAAAGAATATTCGTAAGATATGCTAAAGAAAAGTTTTAAATAAAAATGTGTTGATGAGACTTTTAATGGTAAAAAAAAAAAAAAAAAAAAAACCTTTAGAATACTTTTACGAACACAATAAAACATCCATAATTATCTCTTCATAAAATCAACACACATAAAATAAATTGAAAATTATTTTTAATCTAAAATTTTGTATGTTAATTCATTTTTGCGTTCAATAAATAAGAAAAACGAATTAATTTTTTTCATGTCATCAACAATTCAGTTACAAAATAAATGAATTGTAATACAATTCAGCGAATCTTCGAACAAACTGCAATATCATTTGGAATTCCTAATCATTTTAATTTACATAAAGAAGTGCAGAATAATAAAAATCTCCATCATTATGGTATTTAAATATTTGAAAAAAAAAATAAATAAAAGTCTCATGTATTCAGTTTGTTTAACGAATTGTTAAAACCACCTCGAGCGATATCAATATTTAAGTTTCTTTCAAATCTCGAGAGAGGGGTTGCTTACTTTAATCGCCGCCATTTTGAATCTGTGAAAATAATTGGTGACGATTTGTAAAATTAAAACACATCGTTTTTCATTTTTAAATGGAAATATAAAGACTGAAATCGTAAAATTTTAATTTTGAGCTAACATTAGATTAGCAAAGAAGAATTTTTAATTGCCACTTAACAAGCGGGAAAATGTCATTTTTCTTAAAGAACTTAAACTGCGTGGATTGGATAGATTATTTTTGACTGCGTAAATAATTTGTTTCTTCATTCTTTTTACTGATTTGTTGTGTAAGGATTTATGTCAAATTATTTGAGACAATTAAGAACTAATAATAAATATCATTTTAAAAGGCGTTGTGTTCAGAAAAAAGCAGAACTTTTCTGAATTTTGATCTACACAAACATATTTCTTACAATAATCTTAGCTCATTTTTAAGAAGATTAAATATTTCAAAAATTAACTCTGAAGTTTTATGGAGGCCCTAAAATGAACGAATATAAATTATTATATTATTTTTAAAAATTGAATAGAATTTATTTCTTATGTTTCAAAATGAATAGCACTAATGATCTGAGAAATTTGTTTGAAAAAAGTAATAATAAAGTGGAAAACGATTCGAATTGCGAAATAAAAATTCTGTTTGAATTGATTGAATTAATAAATTGTTTTTATTTGAATATATTTCGAAACAAATAGAAAAAATGTCTTGCTATTTTTAAATGCAATTGTGTATACAATAAATAAAATACCTTATTTACAAAAACTAAACGTATTAAAATAAAAATAAAATGTTTTTGTTCAACTTGAAAGTAAAGTTACCTGTTTACAAACAATAAATATTTCGTACAAATTTTATTTATATATATATTTCTCAACAGTTTTGAAAATTAATTTTTATTGCAACAAACTATTTAACCGTTATATATTTAAATAAATTGTAGTATATAAAAATAGAAATTATTATTTGACACATAAAAAATAAATATTTTCATGTTTTTTTCACAATTTTAATGCTTGTTAATAATGATTTAAAGCCAAGTATAATATTTCTGAATGACGAATACTTCTTTGTTTAAGTGTCATAAATAAATATGCACGGATCAGACTTACAACGAATGTTATAATTAATCAATTTACAGAAAATTAAAATGAATATATAATTATTTTAAACACACTAACATAGCAATTAAATTTCTTTTATTTAAGTATCAAAAATATATATTTTTTTATTTGAAACAGTGGGTTGGTAAATAAAATTAGAATCAAATGTAAATAGCTTTAGTTAAAGTTATTTTTAAAGATAAAATACAAAGAGTTTGGTGATGTCGTTGGTTACTGTGGCTTTATTGGAACTCTATTCATACAAATTTGGCAAAGTCCGGAAAAAAACAAAAGGAACAAATGGAAAATACCAGATATTCTTTACAAAAACTACCAAAAGACCTTCAAAACAGTTAAAACAAGTTAAATGTACTAAAGTTTTAACAAACACAGCCAAAGGATCTTAACAACAGTTAAGGATTAAGGATGAATAAAAACATTCTTAACAAAAATTATCAAAAATCCTTAAAAGCAGTTAAAAACAAGTTAAAGATTCTAAGGACAAAAATTTAAAAATGTAGAACATCATAATAAAAGATGACATGATTTCCTTGGCCCACCAGTAAAAAGTACACAAATCACCATTCTGCTTAAGTCCAGTCCCGAGCAAACAAGTAGATGGGCCTTATTCATTTTCTCTGTCTCGCATAAAACACATGCAACAGAGTTCACAATCCCTATTTCAGCTAGATATTCGTCCAAGCAATAGTGTTCAGTTCTTAATCTAAAATTGGCAAAAGGCTCTTTGCGAGTTTTTTTCACTAAGTGTTTCAAGCCATTCTCGATTATCTCTCTGACTTTCCTTTTGACGTTAAGTTTATATCTAACAACATCCAAAATTACAAT